CCTCCATAAAATGTGCTGAACACATCTGTATATTTGGGTTGAAGTGTTCTGGAACAGTGTTGTAAATACAACTTAACAACTGATTTCTAGTCGTGTCCTCTTTTGGAAGGCCAAACAAAGTAGTTTCACTTTCACAACGAAACACATGGCAGGCTAGAGTGAGCGGAGGCCGGAGGCCTAAAGTGAGCGGAGGGCGGTGGGCTAGAGTGACGGGAGGCCGGCTTGAGTGAGCGGCGGCGGGCGGGCTTGAGAACGGCGCGGCCAGCAGATTCGATGAAGGAGCGTCCGGCGGGCTTGCGACAATCACATGTGACGACCCCGGGCTGGACTCCGCTTCGTCCACGGTGAAAGCCGATCCGGCGATCCACAGCGCGAAGTTGATGAATTTCCTCGGCGACCAGCATGGATCAGCTGTAGGCATGACGAAGCGGATATCGTCCTCTTTTGGAAGGCAAACAAAGTAGTTTCGCTTTCACAACGAAACACACAGCGCCTCCATGACATGGCAGCAGCAACAATACTACAGCGAGAATAAAAGTTACGCCTTCTTTCTTTGCGTGAACATTTGGGCGGCGTTATGCAAATCTTCCCACATCGTGACGTAGACGTGGGGGCGTGTTAGAACGAGCCGTTTTAGGTAGGCGTGGTTGACTCTTAACTTTTATAAAGAATATCTCTTTGGATTTGAGACTTTAGTCTTTGCAACTTTACATATCTTCTTTATTTATATTTCTTAAAAATGTAAATCGCATCATATGACCCCTTTAAGGGGTCATGCAGAATAAGTCTTTAATATGTGCTTTATAAGTACTAGTTAATAAACAGCCAATATGCTAGTAATATTCATGCAAGTTAATAGTTAGAATTGGTCCTGAAAATAAAGTGTTACCATTTATTTATTTATATTTTCTTTTTCACACTTTTTCTCTCCTGGTTCAGACAAACCACGACTCATTTGAAGATATGTAGTTTTGTACATCCTTGGTAGTTAATTGTTTGTTTTTAATATCCTTGTTGTTCATGATCAGCCACACCAGTTGTCACTACCTAGGCGCTGTTATGTGTGTTGTCATAAATAATGAATTTTTTTTCAGCTGTTTGGTGTGTGTTGCAGCGTTTTGCTCCTGGGAGACTGTTGCAGAAAGAACAGTCAGATCCTGTCAAGATTCATTGCTGCTTAAAACATATCCCTGAATTAGTCTGAAAGAACATAAGGGAATCACACCAATGATATGAATTAGATTATGAATCAGTCAGTTAGCTGCACAACATCTAAAGTGTGTGTGTGTGTGTGTGTGTGTGTGTGTGTGTGTGTGCCCCAATCCCTGGTTGTTTATTGCCAAATACTCAATCAAAGTGGCAAAAGGCCCAAAATAAAATTTATATTATGTCTTAGGGCTCACGTCACACTCACTATTCCAGCTCAGTCTGAATCCAGCTGTTAACTAGTGTGGGAACTGCTTTGGATCAATCTTGCTTTGGTAGATTATTTCGATGTTTCCCACAACAATCACTCCCTTTTAACATTTATTCTTGTATGATTCATGATGATTCATATTTTCACATTTTGGACCTTACTTATTTGATGTTGAAATACTTCTATCTAAACTTAATGTGACAACCGTAGGTGAGGTTTTTTTTTTCTAAAACACTATGGAGCATCCTGACTAATCTGACATTGACAGTCAGTATTAACTTGACCAATAGTGTGAGTTTGTGGGCGGGACCAATTATTTGTACACCAGTGGTTGTTATTTTTGCATCTTAATGCTAGTAGTGCAGAAATTATACATATTTAACCTTTAGGATTACAGTCTTGTGGTTGGTTAAGGGTTGTGATTTTGTAGAGAAAACTTTTTGGGAATGCTGCAAGCTGCTTAATTGGTTGTGGCGTGCTTGGATAAAGACTTAATCATATACTTAGCCAATAAATCATGTCCTCTGTCAGGGTCTCTGCAGAAGAACTGAGAATCTGATGCATTGTGTGGTCGTGGCCCCTGACTGATGTTTGAGAATGAGGATTCCTCAATGGATATCTGTGTGTGTTTAAGGCGTACTCCGTTTGTAGAGTTTCTTCAGCTGTCAACACGCACTGGATATGAATGTCTTGTGGGTGAGGACAGCTTTTAAGGGAAAAAAAGGAAAATCTGTCCTCGTGTCATTCAAAGCCTGTATGACTTTCTTTCTCAGAGCACAAAAAGAAAAGAGGATTTGTTTTGAGAACTGTTTGCTCTTATAATTGAACATTGTTGAAGTTGAAAATTGTCAATGACTCTTGTGCAATATTTGAGTATCCTGAAGTCATAAAATAGATTTGCTTGATGATGAGATGGTAATTTAAGTCGAAATACACTGATAATCTAGTGCTTCAACAGAAGAAATTGACTTGGAGAATCAGACCATGGTGCAATCAAGTCATTTCAGAAAGGTCATATTTACAAGTTGAACTCACGTGAACGGCACCACAAAAATGTAATTGCAAATTGAGGAACTTTTTTTAAGCCCAGAGTTTCTGAGTTGGGGGTGTATCAGTGAGAAATTACTGTAGAAGCAATAAATGCAGCATCTGTATCGATGGTACATTTTTTGAATTAAATCTTTTTTTTTTCGTTTACAATAAAATTAGCTAAGTCACATACAAAATACCATAGTATTGTAGAAATTTAATAGAATATATAATGATTCAGTTTACAGCACCTTCATAAATTGAATATAAACAAAAAAGCTATATGAAATTAATGAACTGATTCATTGAGAAGATCTGACTCAAAAGAATCACTTTTTCATGAATCGGATATTGCTTCTTCTATAATGAAGTCTCTTGAATGAGACCAAGGGTGAAGATCAAGATTTTCAGTGAATAATGACTTAAATTTTGTCCTTTCCTCACAAAGCTATCATATAGCTTCAGAAGATTTGGAATATAGTGCACACATTGTATGGACCACTTTTATGACGCTTTTGCATCCTTTTTGATGTTTTAAAGAGATTTAGCTAGAGCTGGGCGATTTTTCAGATGTTATTGACTAATTTGAATGTAATGCTTTAATGTTTTAAACCGAGAAATTGTGGTTTTGAATAAAAATATTAGCAAATGTTACAATTACACATGATGACAATTAGGGCTGAGTAAAAATATTGTTTTCTCGATTTTAATCGATTCTCATTCGATAATTAAAAAATATAAATTCTTTAAGGGGTCATATGACGTTGCTAAAAAGAACATTATGTTGTGTATTTGGTGTAATGCAATGTGTTTATGCGGTTTCAAAGTAGTTTCGCTTTCACAACGAAACACACAGCGTCTCCACGACATGGCGGCGGCGGCAACAACAACAATACATCGAGAATAAAAGTTACACCTTCTAACTTTGCATGAACATTTGGGCGGTGTTATGCAAATCTTCCTACACCGTGACGTAGACATGTGGGGGTGTGTTTAAACGAGGCGTTTTAGGAGGGCGTGGACAAGTCTTAACTTTTATAAAGAATATATCTTTGGGTTTGAGACTTTAGACTTTGCAACTTTAGGTATCTTATCTATGCACGAACAGCTTGTAACACTCCAAAGAGAAAGGAAAATTTGAAATGGCATCATATGATCCCTTTAAATACCAAGAATCCATTAGTCTAGCCTGTTTTCAGTTAATGAACGGAACATTGTATAGGGCACCTCCCATCCAATAAATCGTAATAAATGTTGTGCTTTGTTACTTTTGATATGAAACAGTCTCAGATTTCACAAAATACGTTTTTGCATTAAAAACCCGCAGGCAGTGGAATGGGGACACAAGGTCATGAGATGCGAATTGAACTTCTTTTCACTCGAGCGCCATGTTTTTAGAATGCCATTTCATGCGCAAGACGTCAAGGTCTGTCAAGTGCATATTTACATAAAATAAACAATGGAAAAGCAGTGCAGTGGAATGCAAAAACCTGTAAAGAACTACATTTAATATTTAATATTTACATGATGGTGACAAGCTGAAAGATGCTGTTATCTTCTTTGTTTTAAATGTATATATTTATGTTTTATAATTTATATTTATAGTTAATAAAATAAGCATTTTTCTTATTTATATTATTTCTTAACATACAGGATATGTTGAAGACGAGCTTGTACATTATTTGCCTTCATATTTCATGCATCATTTCTGCAAAGATATTTAAGTCATTTGTTTTATGTTAACACCATGTTGTCCACTTCACGTGTGCAGCACTTGGAAAAGAACCTTCTTTAACCAGATGGTTAATAAATAGAATGATGTAGCTACAATTTTAAGTTGACTAGTTGACTTGCCGTATCGCCCAGCCCTAGCTTTAGCCCTCCTTCTGTTGTTATTGCGTGGAAAATAGTGTCCATGTTATTCAGTACATCTCCTTTTGTGTTTCATGGAGGGTTTGGAACACGAAGGGCAGTAAATGATGCCAAAATTGCACCCTATAACAATTAGGTCAAAAGCTCAGGATGAAACTGTGTGTGCATTGTGGTCTTTCGATGTCTGTTAATGTGAAGCCAATGTAAGAGTATTATTTAGAGTTTTAAACAGAGGTGCTTAGTGTCACAAACACTCAATTATGACAGAACGGTTGATTTAGCCAGCTTGTAAAACCACAAAACTGATGTTTGGAAGGGAGCAGTGACGATTATGAGAGGGAGGGTCCGGGTGAGTGTGTTGAGAAATAGAAACTGGAAAGAACCTGACTGGTCACCCCAACTGAGATCATTAGCATTCCTCCTCCAGACAGTGTCAGGTCATCCCACTCACACCACCAGCTCTCCAAGACACATCTGTGAAGATCAGAAAACTCGCTTTTATGTGAGAGGGTGTCTTAAGGACTGATTAAAGACACATTGTGAAGATGTTTCCCTAGGCTGAAGGCTTCCAGCACATGTGGGTCACAGCCACATTGAGATTGTTGAAGATAATCGTGGAAGGTATAAAGTTGGATGTTTCCTCTCTAGTGTTTCTTCATGGCAGAAAACCAGCTGGCTAAAGTAGGTAGGCCTTTCTGCCATCGCAGAATAGGAAATCGGACAGTTCGTCAGCCAAATGCTCTTGTGGTGATGATCACTCTTCAGATAGTTGAGATTTCCTGTTTAGTCCCTCAAGATTCAAGTGTGAGAGGAAGTGTGGTCCTTTGAGTGCAGTTTCTTTTGATGGAGGTGGTACATTGTGTGTCCAAAGATGAGATCCATGGCAATTTAGCATAGCAACTGAGCTTATAGAAGAACCTGATGGTTAAATTTTATTGTTAACAAAAGTGAAACTATTAAACATCATTTTTGGGGACTGAAATAAAATAAAAATATAAATATAAGATGACAAATGTAAACTTACAAATGTAAACTCAGAAATGAGAAATGTTGTCTTGGCAAATAACTGAAATAAGCACATAAAAATTAAACTAAAATGAAAATTAAAATAAAAGCCAATTCAGAATAAGAATAAATACTATATTAGTATATAAATAATATTAAAATAACACTGTTGTGAAACCTTTATTACATTTTTGTGTGATCTTTATTAATATTATTATTGCAGTCTATACAAATTTATCTATTTTTACAAAGCTCATCGTTCTGAAAAGCGCGGTGTGCTCTGATTGGCCAGCTATCCATTGCGTTGTGATTGGCCGAATACCTCAAGCATGTGACGGAATGTTATGCTCCTTACCATATATGGAAACACACCGCATCTCCATGACGGCAACAACACTACAGTGAGAATAAAAGTTACGCCTTCTTTGTGTAAACCAGGGCTGTCCACACTCGGTCCTGGAGGGTCGGTGTCCTGCAGAGTTTAGCTCCAGCTTGTCTCAACACACCTGCCTGGAAGTTTCTTGTCTGCCTAGTAAGACCTTGATTAGCTGCTTCAGGTGTGTTTGATTAGGGTTGGAGCTAAACTCTGCAGGACACCGGCCCTCCAAGACTGAGTTTGGACAGCCCTTGTGTAAACATGTGGGCGATGTTATGCAAATCTTCCAACACAGTAACTTTGTGGGGGCGTGTTTGAATGAGGCGTTTTAGAAGGGCGTGGACCAGTCTTAACTTTTATAAAGAATATCTCTTTGGGTTTGAGGTTTTAATCTTTGCAACTTTACGGATCTTAACTTTGCACGAACAGCTTGTAACACTCCAAAGACAAAGGAAAACTTGAAATCGCATCATATGACCCCTTTAATTCAATGTGTTTCGTGCAGTTTCCCTTTAATTAAATGTGAAATTTACTAGCAATTTCTGAGTGAAAACTGTTGAAAAGTAAATGCTTGGCTGACTTTCTTTCACTGTACATTGATTATGATTCAAAATTCTATTTAAAACATTTAGTTTTTAGTGTTGCTGTTTTATTTAGACAATAGTATAGAATTTAATCTGCTTGCATCTCTACTGCCAATATTAATATAATCTTACAGCCGTAGTTTATTGGTATTGTTTTAGCACAAATTAGGCAAAAAATTTCTTGTTTTGGTTCAATAATGTGCATAAATATTTTAAAGAAAAGTTAAGACAGTAAATTAATTGATTTAGTTGTGAATTAGGGCTAAATCTGCTCTTTACTTAATCGATTATCAAATCATTTCAGCTCTACTGTCTTTTGGTCATTCTTAAGTTCACCTGTGTCTCTTGCTGCTATGCTTGGCCACATCATTTCTGTTTACAGTTACATTTTAATGGCTCCTGTTTGTTTTCACTTGCAGGGGAGTGATAAAGACTTTGAGACGGTGTATGAACAGTGTGTGAGGTGCTGCAAAGCCTTCCTGGAGCAGCACTCATAACACACACACACACACACACACACACTGCGACCATCCCCTGAAACCTGCAACGCCTCATCACGAGATGCTCGAATGTAAATATCCATTTGAAATAAGTGTCTTCATAAGCAGAACACACAAACCAAACAATAGCAGCGTATAGAGAAGCACTTTGTCTTTAATTGTAATGAAATGTCATAGGATGCTTGTTTGAGCAGCTGTAAACTTCTTTTGTTGACCATACTCTCTGAAGAGAGTAAATTCACCAAAATAAACCGGCTGAAAATGCTGAAATCACTTTTGCCTTTCCTCCTCTAACTTTTAGCAAAATCGGAGTACATATTTATGGCTTTTCCCCTCATTTCTTTGACTATGACTGTGGTTGTGCCAGTTGTTTTGATTACTTTTCCTTTCCTCTCCCGTTCATTCTCTTCATCTTTTCGGGAACCCTCTGGAGAATTTTCCTCGTCGCTAAGATATTTATCAACAGAAATTATCTTTGGTGTGGTTACAGACAAAAAATTAAATATCTCTGAAGCATCCAAAGCATCCACCATGAGTGATAAGAGATCTTGAACTCCCTTAAAAATGTATTTTCTGATGCCAAGATAAGCTGTTAAACTATATGTTTTATGCTACAGAAGATTAACCTTTCATTTTTTTGGTCTAGTTTTAAAACATTAAAGACCACAGTGTTTAAACAATCATAATTTATTTAAATATATTTTCTTTTAAATATACACATCCTATCGTACGTCAAACGTTTATATGTTTGTTATACAGATTTCTTTTAAAGTCTCATTTGTACAACATTTACATATGAAAATATACTGAATATATTCCACAGTCATACACTCACAGTCTCACACAAAACCGAAAAGCTTTTCACGGACTTACTGCAAAAATCTACCTGTTTGCTGGCAAACAGAAGCGAAAGGAAACATTCATGCAGTTAACTGGTTTTCAGTTCTAGCACAGAGAAAAGCAAATCTCTCTCGTCGCAGTGAACTAACACAATTTGTGGTCACGGCTCTGAATTGTAACCCCATCGAAGCATGTCAAACGAAACATCAGCACTGACTGTTACGAGTCTTGATATCTGATGAGAATAAAACGCAAAACCATGGCAATCCCTTTTTTCGTGATGAAACGATGGAAAATGGTTTTATTTTTTGGCAGACAGGTTCAGAACCCAATGCGCCAGATGCGTTTTCTGTTTTCTTTCTGTCATCCTGTGTTTTAACATTGGCTCCATGCTGAGTCCAGCAGACCATCCTTGGGCAAGTGCATCCCATTATACTGTGTCCGTTTACTGCTCTATCAATTCTTTCCCACATCTATTCTCCGGAGAGGCAGAGCAGTGTTCTGGACGCGATGTGCTGATTATGTGGAATGTTGCGTGTTGGTTTAAATTCTCTTCTCTTGTCCAAAGGCACGTTGACTGCTGTTTTTTTTCTGGGTCACTCTGGTTTGGCTTCAACCTGCTTGATAAAGGAAGTGAAGTTTAGTGCTGTTTCAGACTCGGCTGTGTTCGTATGCATGTGTGCACTTGGATGCATCTGAAATTTTTCCATCTGTGAAAAATTGGGAAACAGGGTTTGTTACATGTACTCCCTTCCGAAGTGGTCTTAGGAAGAAAAAAAAGAGCTGAAATGTAAAGCATTGCCTTAAGGTTTGCTTAAATCACATCTGTAATAGCTTGGATAAGTTATCTAATCCTGGAATGTGTTCTCTGTCATAAAACGTTTAAGTGCATGTGGCCTCTCTGAATCTGCAGAATAAATCAGTTTTGTTTTGCTTTCGTAATTTACCTGCATATTTAATATCTTTCTGTGCTTTGAATCTGCGTCATATCCAGTGTTCCCACAATTTCTGGCAAATTAATGTGCAAGTAACTAAATAAATAAATACACATACACATATATATAGATATAAAACAAATTTTCTAGTTCAATCTAGAATTTATATATATATACATACATATTTCACACACACATGATATGTGCTTTTTAAATGTCATACAGTTTATATAATATAAATTAATATTAATATATTTTTATTTATATAAATCAATGCTTTTAAAATAATGCCATTTATATATATAATTATTAATCTAATAATTAACATTTTGCAGATTCTGTAATGTGTAAAAATGTGTAAGTTAAAAAAATTTAAACTTTTGACCACTACTGTATATATAAAGTAAAAATAAATATATATAAAATATGTGATGTTTTTATGATCTAGAAATTTAGACTTTTCCATGAATTTTTCAATTCTTTCAATTTTAATGACTTCCAGGGCCAAGGGTATCCTGCATTCTCCCTCTCTTCTCCAATTTCTTGTTGAATTACCTTCATTTACAGAGACGAAAAAATATTAAAAAGTCGCTTACCTGGTAAAGTTAACCCTCTTGACATCTCGGACTCTCCGCAAGGCGCGTCAGAAGTCGTGCGCATCTTTTGTAGTCTGAGGACAGGAGTAAAGCTGGATGAGTTGTATAATCAGCTGGATGAGTCCTGAATTTGTAGCCTATACTGTTTCTATGTTAAAACTCCATGTGCAGGGGTAAATCAAGGACACCTAGCCAACATGAGACTGTCATGAATATAAAGACAGTTTGTAGAGGGTCGTGGTGCATGTGGGCAGAGATGTGACCTGTTTGTGGGGTGTGAAGAGATGGGAATGCTTGACTGTACTCACATGCAGGCCTGGTGCAGTCTCTGGTGTTATGATAAAGCCTGTAGGCGTGCTTCCTGCATTTTGGACTGAAATAAAGAGGACCTGGTGAAAGAAAAACAGCCAGGTTAAAATTCTCAAACACCATTTTTGTTTCGAGGTCACGGAAAACTCAAAAGTCTCTCACCTGTTAAGATCCTGATAACCTTTTTTTTCTGTGGGATATCTCTGGGAAAGATTTCTGCGAAAGGAAAGAAACACTCAAAGGTCAAACCCTGGATATCCACTGATCCTTCAAGAGGGATGATTCTGAAGCACAGACAAATCACCAGCAATGAACGTGCTCTGACTAAGCAGTTTAGACCCCAAAACAAGCTTTCTGTACACATTATGATCACTTATTCTTAGTATTCAATATTATAACTATTCATTGAACACACAGCACTTTTTTTGAGTACTTCTGTTTCTGCTTCTCTCTTATATCATAAAATCTTATGTAGGCCAGAGATTACTTGACCTAGCTGGGAATCGCTGTCCACCGATACCACGTCTGACTCGGCACACAACAGGTGCAATGCAAAACTATTTCACCTAATGCTTCGAGAGTTAAGACTTTGGCTGGTGCCCTAGTGGGTAAGTCACATCCCTCTTAAATATAGGTCAGGGAAAAAGAAGGCACACACTCATTGCATCGAATGAGCTTTTCTCTGAACTAACTTCACGTGTATAAATCATTTTTACAATGACTTTTAATCACCTGGTTCCAAGGTAATGTATGAAGTCAGTTTCTCAGTAGGAAAATGGACATGTTCCACTAACGTTTCACAACCAGAAACTGAGATTTTGGCTTAACTTTTTTTTAGTTATTTTACTATCCATTGCATTAACATTGGTACATTTACATCTGTGCACAGTGTTGGGGGTAATGCATTACAAGTAATGCGAGTTACGTAATCAGATTACTTTTTTCAAGTAACGGACGTAAATTTACTTTCCCTTCAGCCTGAGGCTAATTCATTTCACTTTTGGTGTGAAAAGGCTTTTATATTTGCCAAAAATAGAACTTTTTTATTTTAAAAACAAACAAGCAAGCCCTGTCCAGATTTTAAAAGTAACGCAAAAGTAACGTAATGCATTACGTTCCATCAAAAGTAACTAAGTAACGTAATTAGTTACTTTTGTATGGAGTAACGCAATATTGTAATGCATTACTTTTAAAAGTAACTTTCCCCAACACTGTCTGTGCATCAAATGCCATACTTACTTAAAATTGTTTCCCCGGTTTCCGTTTTGAGATGATGAGTGTCCTTAAGCGCGCTCTCTTTCTTTTGCGCGCTTGCGTCGTCGGCGCTGTTTTCCACCAGTCTCATGATGTCTATTATCCGTCTGAACGTTTTCTCGACCTTGTTCACGCTGGCGTCGCTTTGTGCAGTAGTGCAGATTAACATGACGAGCCCCATTACTAGAACCGGAGCCCGCAACGCGCGCATCGCTCACGCAACCAGAGTGCGCGCAAGTCCCGCACTGCCCAAGTCCTGGATCACGCAGTCTGCTGAAGAAGTGACAGGGTTTATAAGATGCAAAAGTCCACTTTATGTTAAAAATAAACTTTGGAGGCTTTTACGATTTCTTAAATAAAAAAAAAGAAGTGCAATTAACGCTTTCCCTACCAGTCAGCATGGACACACCTACTCTAGGCTAAGTCTTCAAAACTATTCAAACTATCTCTCCACACATTTTCTTCATTAAGAGATGTGGTGCTTTTAAACACCACTAAATGATTTCACATGTATGCAGAGCACTTGTTGGCTGATTTTCCTTCACTAACGTGGTGCAACTCATTCATTTAAAAATAAATCAATCAAACGTTAGCTTTATTGATATGTAGGCACTTTTTATATTAGTCCACAAGTCTATTTCTCCTCGACAGCAATAACACTTCATGAAGAGCACATGAAAAAGTCAGAAAGAGAAAGAAACCCCAAGCTCACACGTGTCTCTGTTACAGATTTCAACAAACTGTGCTCACATTTGCCCACATCTAAAAGTCTCAATTATGAACTCAATAATTTCTTAAATTCTTCTGAGACCAAATAATCTGAGATGCACATGGATTTTACAGTCCATATTTTTACTATGTTTACATGTTTATGTCTTTTTTGGAGTTGTATTGAGAAATAAGACATTCGACATAAATTACCACACCTTTAAACTATGAAAGAGACACATATGTGCAATTAACTTTTAATCCTGGATGGGAAATATAAATTCAGTTGTGTATGTCCAAACTTTGACTCGTAGTGTGGATCAATTAACTGGTTAAACTACACAACTAAACTACC